ACGGAGGGTGATAGAGTATAGCATACTGATCTACACTAGCTAGAATTTATTTGATATGATGAAACTCTTTGAATAATTTCTAAGCGAACTTGGACACAACGACGTTGGAAAACCACAGCAAATCTGCGGGTTTTTTCCAGTGTTGATTATGTTTCTCGACAGCCCCTTCGATTTTTAATATGGTTTTTATAGCTAACGATAGATCATTACTAGGCGCAGTTTCTGAGAAAAAAATCACGTTGTTGCCACTAGGTCTTGAAGAATAATGAAAGACCACAAAAATATAAACAATATTGAAATCCCGAATTTTTGATTAAAAATTTTGATATTTTCAATTAAAAAAAATGAATCTTTTTTTTTTAAAACGCGATAATGAAATAAGCGAAATTGTAGAGCGAAGAAAGCTCTACAAAACTAAGTAAGACAATAATTGTTCTCATATTCTGATAAGGACCATTTCCATATGATAGTCTAAGTCTGTGAACTCTAAATATCTGATAACATCGACCTATATTCCTTATAGAAAAAGTTAGTGAAATTGAATATGAACCAAGCTGATCTATATACCATTAGATGTAACTTTTCGAGCTCTACAAAACCCAGTATTTTGTTTTTCTAAATGAATAGGTTGAGAAATCCGACATGGTCCTTTCTTATTTCTACTCAACTACTCATTAGTTTCAGTCAGTGCGCCCTTTTACAGACTACATTTTCTTATGAAGCACTCTAGAGGCCTGCAGGTTAACGTATTTTGACAACCTGTAACCTGCCCTGCCCTGCTTTGTCTGACACTATAGAAAGATCGGAACATTCATGTCCATTTTATATGCAATTTCGTCCACTTTATTTCAGAAGTAAGGCAAAAAAAACAATGCTACATATCCTGAAAATTTCTAATCATCAAAATATCAATAACACCATCTGGAGTAAATGATTATCTTTTTTTTTCGTTCAACGTGTTTTTCTGAATGTGACATAGATGATATTTTACAAGCATGAAAATCTGATTAATATTGTTGGTGATATTTGAGAGATTAGTTGATGATGAAAATGTAGAAAAGTATAAGGTACAACTCAAAATAAGAAAAATCAACGTACATTTGAGTAGCTACATGTATGAAGAATAGTTTTGCGAACCTGGGACTAGAAAAATCAAGAAACTTATGAGAATGACGGAACCAACATAAAAATTGATGTTTTTTCAGATTCATTGATTAAAAATGAAACTTTCATTAATATAATTGCATAATTTTAAAAAACAAATTTATTACATTTGCTTTATTAAAATATTTCTTTTAATTAATGAACCTCAAATACATCAATTTTCATGTCCATTTCACCAGTCAAGCTGCCTCTTTTTTCGTGTTTTTGATATAAAATTCCCGAAAGTCATGAAATTTTTTGGATTTGTACGTCCATGGAGATACTTCTATTTCTCTTAAATATTTTTGTAAACGGTTTAATTTGGTTATCATCTTACTTCTATTCTTTTCTTTATGTATAACTTTAGAAAAGATGTTGACAATATTTGATATACAAAATTTGTCGCAGGTGGACAGGTTACGACATAAATAACCTGCCCTGTAAAAATTTTCGTAACCTTACCCTGCCCTGCCCTGTTCCCAGCGCAACCTGCCCTGTCCTGTCCTGCCCTGGTCGGGCAGGGCAGGTTATCTATAACCTGCAGGGCTCTAAAGCACTCATATGTATATAAATAAGTATCAATTAATTATCGTGTTGTAATAATTCTTAACTGTTGACGAAAATATTACGTTCTTTTTAACGTTCAAGGAATACATAACGATGAACATTTAAGTTAAGAAAATATAACCTAAATGATATTTCGAAATAGATCGATAAGCAAAGCCTGAAAATGTCATTGATATTGTCCATTTTCAAATGATGGGTAGATTATTTCTCTCAATTTTAGCTTCTCTTTGTCATATAAGTTTTGTAAGTTGAGAGTAAAACTGGATTTAATAAGGTGGTAAATAATTATTATAAAGTATTACTTAATATTGTTCTATTAAAATGGATGTATCATAAAAAATGTAGTCCCTATATATCTGCACTGAACGACGACAAAAAATACCTTGAACGGCTCTTGATTAGCGGAAAAAATTGACTAACCACTGAAAATAAACTAGTCTTCTATCATCCGAAATTTCATTTATTATGAAAACGAAAATACCCATGTTCTTAATATTATTTCTACTACAAATTTCTAGCTCGTTTTTAAAATTATTAATGACGTTTTAAGCATTTCTTCAATAAAGGTCTTTAGGGGAATATTCTTAGAAAAAATAAAAGCTTTTAAACCTTCTTTATCTCCTTAAGTTTCGAATCGGTTCGAAATTTTGAAAAATTCGATCGGTTCGGTTTGAGATCTTTTCGGTTCGGTTCCAAAAAAACACGAACCGATCCCATCACTGAAAACTACATAATTCTGATAGATCGAATATCAAATTCTAATACTATTTAAAGTGAAATATTATAATCATAGACTTTCTATCAATTTGTTCTCTCAACAATTACAATTTAGAATCAATTGTTTTGTGTTCTATCGATAAAAATTCGATAGATTTGAATCATTTTCTATCTCGATGATGTCTAGAATTTCTAAAAACTTTTTTTCCTACCTTAAATAAACAATAAATGGATTGTCATAAAAATTGATGGGATGATGATAGAATAAAGAACTTGTACGATTTATTTTAACACGACAAATGGGTATCAATGATATTGAAATCAAATAATTTAATTATGTCTTTGACAATACCTTATAATAAAAATATAAATTAAAAAACTTTATATCTAAAAGACAAAGAATAATACATATTTCTTTTTCTTTTCTTCTCTTTTCTATGAATCATCATTCATTGACTTCATATTGATTACTTTTTTCTCATGCCTTTCTAAAGAATCCACTTAGTAGAAATCCAATACCTCAAAGCATCTATAAATTGTTAGTTTTTTTTTCGTAAAATTTGTTTTCAATGAAAATAAAAATTAGAAAGAATTTTAGTCAATCGATGAAATCATACTAATATATTTGATTATTGATTTTTTCGAAAGTTTTCGATCCTATGATATCCGACGTGTCGACCAATCTTTCTAATAGATATGTATTTGATAGAAAACGTTCAATTACATCTCGTTTTTTACAAGCTAGTTCAGCTCTCGAAGTTAAGTCATTTCCACATCATCTCAATTTTGATAAACATCGAGAAGAGTCAGAGAAAAGTTTCTCTATGGACCAATATGTGTATTTATTGGACTTACGAATAGAATAGAATATTATTTTCTTCGCTACTTTGTTACTGGATCAAAACATACAAATGTAAATGTGTGTGACATACAATTTGTATGAGTAAAAATTCGAATCTTTTTATGAATCGTACAATTTGAGAATATTGTCAAAAGACATTATCATGAATGATGATAAGAGTGTGAGTATGATTTTCTTCAGGGTTTTTTTTTGTAGCTTAATATGAAGATAGAAAAACAGAGAACTGAACACAAACACAATCATAAATTTAAACTTTATCTGTTGTATTATCTTCATTCTATTCGAATCAATTTCAATTTTCTTCTCAAATATATCAATTTGGAAAATAAAACAAAAAAAAACTTCTTTTCTTTTAATATTTCTTCAATTTTATTACATTGAAATAATTTGTCTTCATACTATTGAAGAAATAGATTTTTTAGATTGAAAATAAAATATTGAATATGATTGATTTTATTTCAGAATCAATAGAACAAATCTTAATTTATTTTCATAGCAATCCCAATAATAATAACAAAAAAAAGTATCGTTTACAAAAGAAGAGAAAACAATGAAGGATGTCAGTCATTTTCAAATCAAAGGATCATTTAATCAAGATAATAATAGAAATGAAAATAATCAAATTGATTTAAATTTTCGTAATATAAATGAAGATGAAATAATTGAAATTCTTCGACATCCATTTTGTCAAGGTATTCAACAAATGGTCAATGTACAAAATCTAAATGAGATTCAAGTTCATCGAAAAACACTTCTAGATGAAATTCAGCAAATTATGAAAGATCATGGATTTTCTAAAAATAGAAGTGAAACATGGATAAGTGAAAGTTTAAGAAAAGTTTTAAATTTTCAAAATAATGGTATACCAATTGAAAAGCGTTCTCAACAAAGAATATTAGAATTAACATTGAATAGACGACAATATAATCAATTTCGTTTCAATGATGTTATTCCACAATTTCGATCAAAAGGTTCCAGCAAAAGTGTTTATAATTATGAAGGTATTCCAGGTGGAGCCTGTCAATCAAAAGCATCAACCATATCTCCAACCGTTGAAAGAAATATTGGAATTAATAAAAATCATATTGATAAATTTAATGAATGTATTGAATCAATTAATGTTCTTGATCCTGATGATCCATTTGTTAAAAATAAATTTTTACGTTATATATCACAAAATAAATTAAAATCATCTATGATAGCTATATCTGTTATTTATGAAATCAAGAATTTAACAATAATTTTAATGGATGAAAATGGTTGTTGTATTGAACGATTATTGATTCATACAACAGAAATGATTATTAATCAAATTGGATCTAATATTACATTAGCTCTTGCAAGTTTACTGCCTGGTATTGGAAGTTTTGCTATTGGAGTTCTAGGTAGTCTGATATTTGGATTTATTGGAAAGAAAATTGGTGAATTAATATTTAGTTTATTTCCTAAGATTGCATCAGGTGAAGGACCACCAATTTCAGATTATTTTTCGTTTGTTTATGGTTCAAATAATTATTTTGGTGAACCTTTAAATGAATATAATTTCCAAACAATCTTAGGAATACCAAAGTCAGATTATCCAGTTAATATTAACGAAGTTGCATTTAAATCACCGAGCAACGATTATGAAGATCAATTCGTACAAATGGCATTTCAATGTCCGAAATAAATATTATAAACGAATATAACAAGAATTTTAATGTATGCGGTTCGTTTAATCATAGAACTTTTCGTAACTTCAATAATATGTAATGAAATACTCTGTTCATAACAGGAAGTGTGTTTAGAACCATATAACATTTTATTTGCTTGTTAATTTACATGAAAGTAGTGTTTCGTATTTTGTAAAATCGAGAGATATTTTGAAAAATGACTAGTTCTATATTAGTAGCTGAAATCACAATCTGTAGAATAATTTCTGAGAAAATGAAGATCTTAATGTATGGTCTATAGACTAAACTGAATGGAATTTTGAATGAAATTTTTGTTTCTACACACAAATCAGAAATGAGAACATACTGTCTTGCTGGATAGTATGCATATCTCAAATCACAGTTCTGTGTTAGATTTCAGAATTTCAATTTCATCTCTTTTTATATGAAACTTTAGGAAAATAATTCTAAAATACATCATCAATCTCCACGTCCTTTTCATAGTAATTATAGTACAACAACACGTCATGATAGATGTGAATCAAAGACAACTACTAGTAGTAACAAATATACGTGCAACAACTCCATATCATGTTTATCATTCATCTTTCCAGTATTCAAAATCAATATCGAATGCATACGATACTATTAAGAATAAATCTACAAAATTTAGATGATAATACAAAATATTATTTTTATAAGATATCGAATACATGATTGAATTTTATTAAACTGGAAAACTACTTTTCAGACAAAAAATCAGTACCAGAATATTTATTCATGGATGTGTTAGCTGAATGCATCTATCTTTCTTTGTTCTGATAAGTCATAAAATCAATCAAGATATTCTCATATATCTGATCGCTTTTTTGTCGAGATTCTGTGCACTACAATCAATTAGTGCTGAAAACTTTGATTTCGAATTTTGACTAGAAATTTTATATCAATAAAGATCTAATTGAGAATAATACATGATAAAAATTTCAAAAGTTTTGGTTGCTCCTATCACGTAATATAAACATTGGAAGATTAATAAATTAAGCAAAACGATTCGTATCCCATGTCTTGGAATAGAAGCGTTCAATCCGCCTCCAACTTGGAGTGTGGGTGTATTGATATCAGTGATATTAACAGCCACACCCATACCCACACCCTGTTCAGCGCCCGCATCTATAACCTCACTCACACCTGCATCGAACTCTAATTGAATTTTATTTGACAGTTAAAAGAGCTTTTAATATTTTTTTTAAATGAATTTTGTGCGTCAACTTGGCTTCCTCTGTTAGAAATGCAAGACAACTGAATAGTTTCTTCAACCATCTCTGTTTACCCTGTTGCTCGATCGTATGTTAATAAAACAATAAAAAAACAGCTTCAAGCATGTTGTTTTTTTTTCAAGCAAAGAAAAGAAGTAGCAAATAACAGAGCCGAGTGTGGGAGTGATTTTCTTCGTAGTGAGAATGAATTTATTCGATCAATTTTTAAAGATTTTATTATTTTGTTGGCAATAGCATTTTGAAGAAGGAGATCACCGTTGGTGAGGTTTTTTCAAAGCTCGACATATATTTTCATTTATTTGAATATTTTGCAACAGTTTTAAAAAGATATTAAACAATAAAATGATACATAAAGCAGTAGAGACTATAAGTAGCATTCTGATACAAGTTGTCGGGTCAAATCTATTTGAACTAATGAATAAAATAGAATTAAATACGAAAAAACTAATAAGAGTGGGATGGAGAGCATACCGTCATCTATGCTACTAATAATGTAACGAGAAAATATCACAGGTACTAATGATATGTTCGCATTTTAGACGAACAGTGATCCTATTTACTTCGTCTTGCAGAGAATCGAATGTGTAGTTGAGTGATAATGATTAGAAAGTGTTGTATTTGTGAAAGTCCTCAAAAATTAAAAACCCACACTATGACGACATATTTGGTAAAAAAAAACAATAGAGCTCTGTTAAGCAATAACCTTATGAAATGTTTCATCAAAGTCTGTTTTCCTCAATGAAACCCGACGAACGTAATCGAGGGTGTGTGTGTGGCTGTGGGTGTGGGATGTGGGTGTGGGTGGTGGGTGTGGGTGGGTGAGGGTGTCACAAAAACAAGACTAACATCCACACCCACACCCACACCCCACACCCACCCACGCCCAAAAATTAGATTTTTTGCTTACTTTTTAATAGTATTTTGGGTTTTTCTCCGGATTAGAATGGTACGGGGGGAAAAGTAAATAGTGCATTGGATAGAGCTTGTTGAGTTCTATCTTGGTCCACAGAGTTTAGTCTTTGGTCCCAGCTGTGGGCGAATCAAGTTATGGAATACTCGAATCCAGGCCTAAGATATCCTACGTAAGTGTCCCTCTCACGTATTTTCGATCAAAATTTTTTTTGTCAAATTTCACTTTTTACGTTAGTCATTTTGTTTCGTACAGCACTCTTTAGGATAGAGCACAAGTGAAATCCTACGAGAAACATGTGTTTGAGTGTATTGAAGTGTTTTAGAACCAAATAACCACGTCTCTATCAAAAAATTGACCACT